CATAATCGGTCATCTGTAGACCAGACATGTAATCCAGGGAGGTATGTTGTCTCCCTGGCACAAAAATCAAAGTTGTGGCCAAGAACCTAACCAAAATAATTAGGCCCAAGATTACTACCCTTTCCTCCTCCTTCACATTGGGACGAATGACACAACAAAGAACCTGAGTACAATATTGAGAGATTATAAGCAACTACTAGGCAATAAAGTTAAAGCACTAGGAGCACAAGTAGTGTTCTCATCAGTTCTCCCAATGAAAGGCCAGGTTCCATTGAGGGAAAAAATAATTCTAGAAATAAACAGCAACTGTGAGAGGGACCTTGGACAATCACTTGACTATGAGCCAGCAGTGTGCAGCAGCTGCCAAAAAAGCTAGTACAATCCTGGGCTGTATAAATAGAGGCATAGAATCAAGATCACATGATCTCCTGGAATACTGCAACCAATTTTGGTCACCATACTACAAAAAAGATGTTGAGACCTTGGAAAAAGTTCAGAGAAGAGCAACTAAAATGATCAAAGACCTGGAGATTAAAACATATGAAGAAGGGCTGCAGGACTTGGGTTTAGTTAGTTTAAAGAAAAGAAGAAACAGAGGTGACATGATAGCAGTATTCCAGTATTTGAGGGACTGCTACAAAGAAGAGGGTGTCAAACTATTCTCCAAAGCACCAGAGGGCAAAAAAAGAAATCATGGTTGGAAATTGACCAAGGAGACTATCACTTGTCTGAAATGGTATAGGTTCTCCTGCTTGAGCAGGTGGCTGGACTAGAAGACTTCCAAGGTCCCTTCCAGCTCTATTCTATTCTATTCTATTCTATTCTATTCTATTCTATTCTATTCTATTCTATTCTATTCTATTCTATTCTATTCTATTCTATTCAGCTATAACTTACTGTGTGTTTTGATAAAGTGACTACATTAGTGGGTAAGGAAAACACTATGGACATAGCTTATATAGGCTTCAGCAAGGCATTTGACAAAATAAGTTACACCTTACTTCTTGCTAAGATAGAACAATATGGAATAGATAATACCACCATCCAAGGGATTTGCAATTGGCTGACCAAATGCAGCCAGCGTTTAGTCTGGCAATGGAGCCCAGATAGACAAGGAAGCCCTCACCATAGTGGCCGGCATTAAGACGTTCCACAACCTCTTATATGGATGAACCTTTATTATCTTTCCAGACCACAAACCTCTGCTTGGTCTCTTCACAGCAGACAAACAGACACCACAGATCCTGTTGCCGCGAATGCTACTATGGTCCATTTTCATGGCTGCATACTTGTACCGGCTAGTCCACAAGCTGGGTAAGGAAATGAGCCATGCTGATGCTCTCGGCCAACTGCCTCTACTGCAGACTGATCCAGCCCCAGACCCAGCTTGTTGTATCCTGCAATCCAGGACCTGCCTGAAGAACCCCTACATGCAGGGAACATTGCAGCTGAAACCACCACGGACAGAACGCTTAGCCGCATTCTCAACTGGATGTTAAGGGAATGGCCAGAGACCCAGCCATGCCCTGAGTTCCATCACTATACTTATTGGAAAAATGAACTGTCGGCCCACAAGGGATGTGTGCTGTGGGGCAGCAGGGTCATCATTCCACCCAGTCTTCGCTCCAGGGTGCTGGACTCCTTACATGAGGGGCACCCAGGAATTGTTTGAATGAAGGCTCTAGCCAGGAGCTACTTGTGGTGGCCAGGCCTGGACAAGGACATTGAGAATCAAGTAAGGAGTTGCCAGGCCTGCAAGAAACCCGACCAGAGATGCCACAAGCACCAGTGTACTGCTGGGAGACCACACAAGCCTCATGGTCTCGCATCCACATTGGCTTTGCGGGCCCCTTCCAAGGGCAGGTGTCCCTAATTGTAATAGACATTTATTTCAAGTGGTTGGAAGTGGCACCGGTCTAAATCGATGACAATAACCAGGGTCATCCAAGAGTTGCGCCTGCTGTTCACCACACATGGTCTGTCAGATGTAATTGTGTCTGACAACGGGGCACAATTCACGGCAGGAGAGTTTCAATCTTTCCTCAACGCCAGCATGATTCATCACATAACATTCCACCCTGTGACCAACGGTCAGGCCGAACGAATGGTCAGGACCACAAAGGAGGTGTTCAAGCGGATGACGACTGGGGATTGGAATCACCACCTGGCGAACTTCCTCCTGTGTCAACACATAACTCCCATTACAGCAACAGGTCGCAGCCCAGCGGAGCTGAGGTGGGGCCGTCAGCTCACCACAAGGCTCGACCAACTTCACCAACAGAGTAGCGGCAGAGACGGCTCAACCAAAGCTCCCCAGGAACTTACAGCTGGGTTAATTGGTCTGGGCCAGGAACTATGGAAGTGGGGCACCTTGGGTGGCAGCTAGGGTAACTAAGATAATGGGGCCCTTATCATATGAGGTTATTCTGGAAAATGATCGTATGGTCAGACGTCACATTGATCAGTTACAGTGTTGGCAGGCCGGGCCAGTCCTGGGTGAGGATCCCGAGGTTTTATCAGACACACAAGAGAACTGTTTTCCTCCAAGTTTGCCTACATCTCCCGTGGCTGCCTCCGGGGAAACGGAGGTATGAAGGGCTGTAGAGCTGCCGCCACTCACAGGCAACCTAAACGGCCATCATGACTTTGTTCAACTGGAGATGGACAATACTCCATTTGAACAGGAGTCTCCAATAACATTGTGGCAGTCCACCAGGATCCGCGAGCCCCCGGCCTATCTCAAAGATTATGAATATTGAACAGACTGATGATGATAACTATCCAAGGGGAAAGAGGTGTTATGTATTGAATACATATAAAATTGTGTTAATCCCTGCTAAAGTGAAACTAACTTAACTCCGATGCTTGTGAAGCTAAAATAAAACTAACCTTTAGATGACCCTGACTTTAACTCCAACTGTTTTGGAAAGAAACTTTGAACATTCATATCTGGGCGGGTTTTTCAAGTATTGTGATTGGTTAAGGCCCTGTGGGTTTAGAGTATAAATTACAGGCAATTGCCTGCAGTTCTCCAGTTCTAGCTTGAGTCAATAAATAATGTTGTAACTATGCTAGTCTGCTCCTTGCCTACTGAAGCCCACTACTCATTAAGAAGGATCTTGATAGATTTGAACACTGGACTCTAACCAACAAAATGCAATCCAGTGGTGAGAAAAGTAAGGCTCTACATGTAGGCAAGAAAAAACAAATGTACAGGTATAGAATAGATGATATCTGTCTCAATAGTGGCCACTATGTTAGGAATCTTGGCCTAATAAACTACCATTTAAATATGAGCCTATGGTGTGCTGCAGCTGCCAAAAAAGCTAATGCAGTCGTAGGTGGCATCAACAGTGACATAGTTTCAAGATCACATTAAGTGATAATGCCTAGAAAGAATGCTGAGAAGAAAAACAAAAATGATAAGGGATCTGGAGGCTAAACCATATGAGAAATGATTGAGGAACTAGGCATGTCTAGTCTAATGAAAAGAAGGACTAGGATTGATATCAGTATTCCAGTATTTGAGGGGTTGTCACAGAAAAGAGGCTTCAAAACTTGATTGGACCCTCCTAAAAACTGGAAGGAACCTGGAAAACAATAAATACCCATAAAGCCATTCCTCCTCATCTTCTTCTTACTTCAGAAGCCCCTAGTTTCTGTGGTACTTCGCATGGAACCTATTGATTAACTGCTCTCCTCTGATGTTGTGAGGTTTAACGCCTGTCACTTCTTCTATTAGGTAACCTCTCCACGATACTAGATACTATAGCTTCCTCTTATGGACACTACAGTCTAGGATTCGCTTAACCTCATAATGTCTCTCACCCTCCATTATTATTCATCCAGGTGCATTCTTTTCAACTGCTCTCAGTGTAGACCCTTTTGCCAGCTTTAGCAAACTGCAATAAAATACCCCATTCCCCACGGCTAATTTCGCCCTGCCAGGGGGACCCTAGATGGGTTTGAAGTTGACCCAGAGAGGTGACTGTGAAGGAGGGGTGCCCCGTTGATCACGAAGCAACAGCAATTGCACATACATAACTCTAAATAGTTTACAATAAAATGGATAAAATACATAATATAAAAACTAAAACACATAGCAGTCGGGCATCCTTCAAGTATCTATCAACATAACGAGAAAAATAAGCTTTGTCACATATCCAGGACCCCAGGCTGTGTCCCAAAATTAAGTTTTTAAGGTCTTATGAAAGACCAGTAAGAACCTGGTCAATCTAATCTCAGATAGACAATGGTCTAAAGAGCTCCCCTTCTAGGTCCCACCAGTCAACCCTTTTTAGCTGACATTATCCATAGCATGATCCTCCTGCCTCCTGTATGAGAGGTAAAGATAATTGGGGAACATGGTCCTGTAACTAACCTAGTCACAAGTCATGAAGATCTTTAAAGGTAACAACCACCACCATGAATGTACACTTGGAAATACAGTGAAAGCCAATGCAGCTTGCAGGGCAGTAATGTTACATGCCCTGAATAACTGGTGCCATTAACTGTGTTGCTACATTGTGCACCAGTTAAAGCTTCTGAATATTCTTCAAGAGCAGCCTCATATAAAGCGCACTGCAACAGTCTAGAGATTATGAGGTCTTGTGCAGGGCATCCCGGTCCAGGAATAAGTCCAACTGATACACAATTCAAAGTTGTACAAAAGCCCTCTTGGTCACAGTTGCCACTTGCCCCTTTTGTAGAGACACAAGTGCAGGAGGATCCTCAGATTGCATACCAGGTCTGTCTGGAGTGATCCCATCCAGACCGCTGAGTATTTGACTATTTGTGATCTATACTTAGATGGCTGTATGGTTATTACAGCTACAGAAATTTAGCATCCATCCCTGCAGTAATTTGAAGTTATCTAAAGTAGAAGACAAGTAGAGTGAGCTATATAAACTCATCTTTTCCAACTATGCTACATTATTTATATTACTATCAAAAATGTAATAAAATTAAAATCTTAACCAGATATTATTTCAACTTTTTACCTTTTGATTGCATTCCATACTTTAACTCCATCATCCCGATAGTAGTAGTATGGAATATCCTCACTGCTTTCCATATGTCTTGATTTGATTTCTTCAGGAAAGCAGAGAGAGCTGTAGGTAAGATGTTTCATTGCTCGCTGGACCATTTGCACATGCCCACCGCCTCCAGTGGCATTTGCCTTTAGCAACCAAAACAAATAATATAGGTCATTAAGAAAAACACAGTTGAGAAAGACCTCACATTCCTAAGATTAGTAGGTCATACAGAAGGATGCAGTGATGCAGCTTGGCCACATGCAGTCGTGATATAGTTAAGGACTTCTGTATGTGTGCTGCTCAGTGCTTTTTCTCTAAAAAAAAAAAAAAAAAAGGTGCCAGAACTCACACACGTCATACAACCTGCCTTGCCTATCCTATAAGGTTCCATCCAAAAAAGGTGCTGGAACTCCGTTCTGGGCGTTCTATGAGAAAAAAAGTCCTGGTACTGCTCCAGTTTCCATATATGCTTGTTTTCATATTAAAGCTTTAGCCACTCAACTTCCCCATATTTTCCAAAGAAACCTTACACACTATTTACACTACGGAAAAAAATATTTAGTTATTTAATGGGTAGGTTTTTCTCTCTCCTGTAAGAAATAATGAGCTGCTCCCCAGTTCTATTAATATATGTAAATATGGAAGCCAAAATTGGTGCCTACCAGTCAGAATGTTATGTTGAAATTCAGGGGGGATTAAATAGTCCCCCTGAGGCTTGTTGTTGTAGAATGAAACAAAAAAATAGGCCATCCTATTTTTATTGTATGAAACTGCTTAAAATGTTGTCAACCCCCTTAAAGAAGCTCACAGTGATAAAACCAAGATTCTCAGAGATTAGGAGAGGTAGATTTGTTGAAATGAGAAAGGATTACAAAACCTAGAAGACTAGATGTGCCTTCATTTATTAATCAGTATGTTAAGGTTTGTTTTGCATTACCATTAATCTTCTAAGTGTTGATTTAATGGAGAAGATATTAATTGCTTATTTGATACAAAAAAAATTGATATCAATTGTTCTTGTTCTGTAATATTTTAGAATAGAATAGAGAATAGAGCTGGAAGGGACCTTGGAGGTCTTCTAGTCCAGCCCCCTGCTCAAGTAGGAGAACCTATACCATTTCAAACAAAACATTTTGAAAATGTTTTCCTTCCCTGGATCAGAAAATTCTATTATAGCTGCCCTACAGCTATATGCTTAAAATGTAATTGCCCTTGCAATGTTGAGGGAAAAGAAAATGGATTTGAGGGACAAAAGGAAGATCTGCTACAAAGGCAATAATGGAATAAAAGGAGCTTGTATGTAATGTTAAGTAATCATCTCAGACAAACTCTTTCTTAGTTCACACAAAGATGAAGTTGTAGGGAACATATATTCAGACTTGCAAGATTTTGTTGCTATAGTTTTACAATAAAAGTAGTATTGACCTACATGGAATTGGTTTCCCAGTCTGATCTATTTTAAAGAGCTGACATGCTCTTTCAACTGGAATGTTGGCAGGTGACTTTGACTAATTTTTGCTGTCCAGAGTTCAGTGAAAATTTGGGGAGTTCAAGACATTATGGGGGATTTCTAAGACATCTAGACATCTCTGAAAGAGTGTAGATGATACAGCGGCAATAACTAGCAGCATGTTCTTAACTAGCAGCATGTTCTGTCCAATGGAACCTCTCTGGACAAGGCGAGGATGAAAGATTATCCAAAGGCTCCAGATGGCTGCTCCGTGTGAGGAGACAACAGGATACTAAACATCTCATGGGTCTGAGTTCCAGGAGATGAGGGAAGCCATCAAACTTTTGATCAGGGTGAACCCTTTAAGGACACTGGGTTTGTCTATCTTACTTTCTAATCGCTTTTGAATTTATAATTATTTTACAGTTAAAAGAGGTCCTCCAAACAACAAGTTTGAAAACTATCTGGTGAGTAAGGTTTCATCTCAAAATAGAAGAAAAGCTAACAGTTTAAATAATTTAAAGAATGTAAAACAAATGGAAAAAGCTAAATTACAATTTAATTTAAGAAAGTTTTAAGCATATTGGGACCAGATGAATTTAGAAAATTCTTCTGAAAAATTGAGTAAACAAAATAATATTTCCATGGGAACATAAATTGTTTAATCTATTATGAATGAGATAATTGACTGAAAGTTCAAAATAAAACAATGAATAAACTTAAGTATGAGAATATAAAAATGTGATATTAGAAGGACTAAGGTTCCAGGCAGGAATAAGAAAGGTGAAATTTACAAAATGACAAAGGTATGTCACTTGAGAAATTTCAAAAGATTTTTGAAGAATTGGGAGATAAACCAATAAATAAATTGATAGTAATAATTTCTATATTTCTAAATGTATTTTTGGAAGATTATAAAGAAAAAGTAAAAGATGTGGCAGACATTAATATGGAAGAATTTATGGATAGATAAACAGAATGAAGAGAAGATACAAACTCTAGCTGATGTTTAAAGCCAAGGTATTAGGAGCACAAATGGTATTCCATTTGTATTTCCAATGGAAAATCAATATCCAATGAGGGAACAGACATTTTTAGTAATAAACCATTGACTTAAGGGATGGCACTGTTAAGAGAATTTCAGATTCCAAGACTACAATCTACATTATCTATATGAAAGGCTTCTGGCAAGGGATCGGCTGCACCTCACAAAGTCGGAATTAAAATTAGTGGGTTAAAACTACAAGGAAGTAGGTTCAAGCTACATGTCAGGAGGAACAATCAACCAATAGGATGGATTGCCCATAAAAGAATGAGTTTTAATTTGCTGGAGGTCTTCAAACTTCTAGGCAATTATCTGTCAAAGTTGCTCTAGTGGATTCTGCTCTAAATAAGTCAGACTAGACAATCTTTAAAATAATTTTCAACTCAGAGAGGGAGGGGGAGTTCAGTCTCTTTATAATGCTATCCTACCTCTCTGGAGCTAAAAAATATCTTCAGGTAAAATGGGAAGCACTACATGTAAGATTTTTCCTTATAGTTTGGATAAGAGTTAAGATTTTGTCAGGTCCCTGTCGGAATGCTGTCATTCCGAAGGGAGGGGGGATGTTACTAGGGGATTAATGCTTTTGCTTTCATGTATCTGTATGGGAACTAGGGAGGGGGGAATGGGCCATCAGGACCATCTGGATAGATACCTTTCCAGTCACCTCCCACCTGTTATCAAGGTCGCAGGGCCAGGGAACGACTTGTTATCACCTTCTCATCTTGGAGTTCTCACAATACCTTCATGCCAGTGAATTGGCTCCTGATGGACTGGGGCATTGGATTGGGGTTTGAACAATGCGGAATTAGCTTAACAACTTTCACAGGAGCTTCAGATTCCACCAGGAATCACTTTCTCTCAGTAAAATATCCTTTTGAAATAACGCTTGTTTCAAGAGTCATGCTTTCCTGAGAATATAGCTGAGGCAGGACCTTACAGATTTCCTGTTATCCTCCAGAATTATGGAAGTGGCATCATCTTGTGAGTGTGCTTGTGTGTGTGTGTGTGTGTGTGTGTGCGCGCGCGCACGCACACACACTTTCAAGTCAATCTTGATTCCTGAAAACTGCCTAGAGAAGTTCATTTTTCCTGGCAAGGTTATTTGGAGGTGATTTGCAATTGCCTGCTTCTTAGGGCTGAGAGAAAGTAATTGGCCCAAGGTCATTCATCTGGCTTTCTGGCTAAGGCGGAACTAGAACTCATGGATCTTCTGATTTATAGCATGATGCTTTAACCTCTAGACCAGTGGTTCTCAACCTTCCTAATGCCACGACCCTTTAATACAGTTCCTCATGTTGTGATGATCCCCCAACCATAACATTATTTTTGTTGCTACTTCATAACTGTAATTTTGCTACTGTTATTAATCGTAATGTAAATATCTGATATGCAGGATGTATTTTCATTGTTACGAATTGAACATAATTAAAGCATAGTGATTAATCACAAAAACAATATAGCAATGCTCGATGGAGAAGCTTACTCTTCCTTGCTCAAAAATGTTGGGAGGGAGGGAAGGGGAAGGAAGGAAGGAAGATTGCAGGGGAAAGGAAGGAGATGGAGAAGGAAGGAAGGAAGGAAGGAAGGAAGGAAGGAAGGAAGGAAGGAAGGAAGGAAGGAAGGAGAGATTGAAGGGGAAGGGATGGAGATGGAAGGAAGGAAGGAAGATTGAAGGGGAAAGGAAGGAGATGGAGAAGGAAGGAGATTGAAGGGGAAGAAAGGAAGGAAGGAGAGAGAGATTGAAGGGGAAGGGATGGAGATGGAAGGAAGGAAGATTGAAGGGGAAAGGAAGGAGATGGAGAAGAAAGGAGATTGAAGGGGGAAGGAAGGAAGGAGAGAGAGAGAGATTGAAGGGGAAGGGATGGAGATGGAGATGGAAGGAAGGAAGAAAGATTAAGGGGAAAGGAAGGAGATGGATGGAAGGAAGGAAGGAGGGAAGGAAGGAAGGATTGATCTTTGAAGAGTCATGTTTTCCCAGATGGTGATGAAGTGCAACTCCCAGCATTTCCCACTCTTCCACAGTGCTTTTTAGGGCTGCTGGAGATGGTAGTCTGGCTGAGAGCCAAGTGGCGGCACCTCCGGGGCCTCGGAAGCCACGCGGATGATCCGTGCGTCTTGGAGCCGTCGGCCGCCCTCTCACGCCCGCTAACCTGGAGCCCTCCATCCTCATCCCAGCACCTCTTGCCCTCTCCCAGCCACCCCCTGGGACCTGCCTGCCTCTCCAGCCTCCTGAGCACCATCGCAGTGGTGGGGTTGCAGGAGCTCCTTTCCATGCCGTGCAGCCCTTCACTGCCACAATCCTTTACCACCACGATCGTTGCACATGAGAGGAGTGCGGTCGGAGCGCCAGCTCCTGCTCGGAAGGCGCCACTTCTCCCCTCCCGGCCTGGCCAGCTGGCCTCCGACGCACATGCAGGCATCACTGCCGCCTGACCGCTTCTGAGGCCCAGAGCCTGGCGAGCCAGGAAGGAGCCACTCCTGCCCGCCAGCCCCAGGGCCGCGCCAGGCACCAGAGGGCCAAAGCAGCCTCTGATGGTGAGGGAGGCGGGCTGGGCGGCTTGGGGGAAGCTCTGGTGCGGTGTGGAGGGCAGCCAGGGGCGGAGTGTGGCCAGGCAACTAGGAGGCGTGTGGACCGGCTCGGTGCCGCAGCTCAGCTCAGAGCAGCGGTGGCAGCAGCGGAGCAGCCCAGCGGCAGTGCCAGCAGCGGCTGCCACCGCCACCCTCCTCCTCCGCCTCCAGGGCACCCTTCTCCTCCAACAGTGCCTGCTCCTGCTGCTGCAGCACAATCACGCGCACCCCCGATGCCGACTCGACCTGGCCACCCACACAGCTGAGCTGGCCCAGGGCGGTGTCAGGGGTGCGCACGATGGCGCTGCGGTGGCAGAAGCAGGTGCTGTTGGAGGAGAAGGGTGCCCTGGAGGTGGAGGAGCTGGCGGCGGAGGAGGAGGGCGGCAGCAGCCGGATAGAGAAGCAGTGTCTCAGTTCTAAGACCATCAGAAATATGTGTTTTCCGATGGTCTTAGGCAACCCCTGTGAAAGCGTTGTTCGACCCCCAAAAGGGTCGCTACCCATAGGTTGAGAACCGCTGCTCTAGACAAATTGGCTAATCTTACCTTGTCAAAAAGTCCATATTCACAGATAAGTTGCTCTCGAGCTTTGGTGTTTATAGCTATTGTAAACCGTACATGAGGTATCAGGAGCTAAGAATGAGAAAAAAAATAGATTACTGGATGAAAAACTTTTCATAACTTTCTAAATATTACCATAAAAGTTAGAAATGGCTTTGCAGTGAGCAAGGCTGAGTCTATAAGATAGCACTTTTTCAAACTTTTCTTCCAAAAAGCATTTAAAAGAAGCTTAGTACTTCTTAGTTACCAACCATCTATCTTCCAAAGAGGCATTTCATTTAGTGTCCTTCCCATTAATCTCTGGTGTGTTTGAGACAGAGAGCTCACAAATCCTACTGCTTTTCTGATGAGTAAAAAAGGTACAAATATAAAAGGTGAAATTACTGATGGAATCAGCTACCAGCCACTTACTTCAGAGCCTGTTGAGAATGATTGTAAGGACCCACCTCAATCCCTCTTCCTAAGAAAGCAGAACTCCTGGAACGACTTCATTCCAAAAGGAACTTTTATTAGAAGTTGACAGCAGGCATAGAAGGCAGGATCTGAGGGTTTCCCATGCGAATCAATAGGTTAAAGGAGTATTTAGCAAACCCCACCCCAATAGTCTATCCCTGCAGTTCAAACAGGCCAATCTCCAGGTGTGAGTGGGAACGGGGCTGATTAGACATAAGTTCCCAAGGTTGTTAGGCCATTAGGTCTTTGCGCCTCTTCTTCCGCAGCCAGAGATATTCCAGATGGACAGAGATAAGCCAGATGTCTGGAGGTGCATTCCATTCTCACCCCAGGCTGGCATCAAGAGAAATAGTTCAAAGAGCAGGTAGATAGAGGGAAGTGGAGAGGATACACTGTAGCAGCTATAGCTAAGCAAAGTAGATACACTGTAGTGCCCATGGCTTCCCCCCTCCCCCACGAGCATGGCAGAACAGGAATAAAGAATAAAAGAAACACTCCTCAAATCCAACATTTGGGTTCTGACATGCCGCCCCCCTCCCCTTAAAAAATGAGAGATCCACCTGTAGATGAAACAAAAAAGGAGAGGAAATACATACGCATTAGTCTGGTTTGTCAGGATATTTAGTATGAAATTTACTAAGTAATCTTGGGGCTCTGACATGTCGCTTGTGGACCCATTCATTTTGGGAGCAATCTGATTTGAAAACAAGTCCATCACTACCCAAATGATAGTATTTTCCCCACTTTCTGGTAGTTCCACAATAAAGTCCATAGAAATCTCCCTCTGGGGTGCTGACAGGGTGGCTACTGTTTGCAATAGTCCTGGGGTTTTCTCTTGCCTTTGATTAGCCATTGCGCAAACAGGACAGCTAGCTACATAGTTTTCAATGTCCTTTTTTATTGAAGGCCACCAAAACTGCTGCTTCACTAGGTGGAGGGTTTTCACAAATCCAAAGTGCCCAGCTATTTTGGAATCATGGCAGAGGTGCATGAAGGCTAATCTCTGGCTCTTTGGAATGTAGCATTTTCCCCCTACCCAAGGTAGGTCATCATTCATTGTGCATAGATTCTTATGGCTTAGAAACCATTCATCTTTTTCTAACGCTTGGCTGAACTCCATTCCTGCTGAGCTTGCCGGTGATTTGGGACTTTTTTGCTTGCGCTCGCATGGTGACTACTTGCTTTGATGGTATGAGTAAGTCTGCTATCTCAGTCTTTGTGGTATTGTACTGTGGTCTGCCAGTACATGACAGTGCATCTGCCAGGACGTTTTTTCCCTCCTGGCAAGTGTTTGATAGTGAAATTGAACCGATGGAAATGCTGGAACCATGTTGCCTGTTTAGGCGACAGTTTCCTAGGTGTTTTTAAAGCCTCTAAGTTCTTATGGTCAGTCCATACGTGGAAAGGGATTTTGTTTCCTTCCAGGAAATGTCGCCAGATTAGGAGGACCCAACAAATGGCATAAGCTTCTTTCTCCCACACTACCCATCTTTGCTCGGTTTCCGTGAGTTTCCTTGATGTATATGCACAGGGTTGCAACTTCTCTTCATTGTTCTCCTGAAGCAGTACCACCACCACCCACCACATCACTGGCATCTGCCTGAATGATGAAAGGTCTTTCGGTGTCTGGGTGTTTTAAGACCGGTTCCACTGAGAATAGTTTTTTCAGTTTCTCAAAAGTGGCTTGGCACTCCAAAGTATATTTCAGTGGTTGGCTGGGCTTTGATTTCCCCTTCCATTTGGTTTTTAGTAGATTTGTGATGGGTAGTGCAATTTGAGCAAAAGAGGGGATGAATTGACAATAGAAGTTAGTGAACCCAAGGAAGCTTTATAGTTGTTTCCAGGTGTGGGACAGAGCCTATTCTAACACTGCTTGGACCTTCTCAGGGTCCATCTCTATGACTTTTGGAGATATATAATATCTTAGGTAATCAATTTTCTCCTTGTGGAATTCACATTTGGATAGTTTGGCATACAGGCGGGTGGTTCGTAACTTATTTAGCACCTGTTTGACATGCTCTTCTTTGGTTTCAATGAATATCAGGATATCATCCAAGTAGACAAGCACCCTCTTATAGAGGTGCTCCTGGAACATTTCATTTATCAAATGCATGAATACGGCAGGTGCCCCTTGTAGTCCGAACAGAAGCACTCTAAACTGGAAATATCCCAAGGGGCAATTGAAAGCCGTTTCCCACTCATCTCCTTCCTTAATTCTGATTTGGTAGTACGCCCCCCATAAGTCCAATTTTGAAAAAAAAAATCCCCTTTGCTAAATGTGCTAGCATGTCTTTCATTAAGGGGAGTGGGTAGAGATTACTCTCACTAACTGTGTTGAGAGATCTATAATCCATGCAGAGGCAAAGAGACCCAAACTTCTTTTTGCAAAATAGTACAGGGGCTGCCGTTTTGGGCTTTGCTGGTTGTATGAACCCTCTCACTAAATTTTTGTCTATAAATTTCTGTAATTCCTCCAATTCCTGAGGGGTCATGGAGTACATTTCGGCTTCGGCAATTTCGCCCCCAGCAAAAACCCAATAGCATAGTCTGTGGGACAGTGTGTGTGGGGGTAATTCGTTGGATCTCTCTTCACTGAACACTTCAGCTAGATCCTGATATTCCTTGGGTATGCCTTCCAGCCTCCCACTGCTCACCACTGCCACACTTTCCGGACCCCTGGTTCCCTTTTTGGCTCGGGCCACTCCCTTTGCACTGTAAACCCCTTTTGGGAATCTCAGCTCTCCAGTTCTCCAGTCTACTCTCAGGTTCCATTTTCTTAACCACACTATTCCTAAAATAAGCGGGCACTCCATTCCAGGGTCACCACGAATGTTATAATCTCTATGTCAGTGGTTCTCAACCTTTTTAATGCCGCGACCTCCAACCGGTCGTAGGTCGAGGACTACCCAACCGGTCGTAAGTCAAGGACTACCCAACCAGTCATAAGTCGAGGACTTTCCCTGCCGGTGAGCGGCGCGCATGTGTGGTGCCGATCTCTGCGCCGGCCGAGGCGTAGCTGGCAAGCGGCAGAGACGGAGCAGGCCGACCATCGGCTGGGCCACCAGCTGGCCCAGCCCAAGGGAGGTAAAGCACCTGCCGGGCCCCACGTGCGCCAGCAGCACTCCCTGCACCCGCTGGCCTCCCACCTCCCACCCCTGGCCTTCTTTTACTTACATTTTTAGTAATTGCTCAGCAGGGAGGGGTGGAAACTTCCAGACAGCTCGCCTTCGCTGCAGACAACGTGCAGTACCGTTTGCAGAATGGGACTTTTGGCGGGCTCAGCAGGGCAGAGACAGCCTGGACAATTCCTATTGGCTTTTGAAAGCCAATAAAATTAGACTCTATTCAAGAGAGTCTATTCTATTGGCTTTGAAAAGCCAATAGAATAAAAGGGAGTAGCATAGCTAAGGAAAAGGGGGAAAAATGGCAGACTGCATTGTTTGGCGACCCCCATGAAATGGTTGTTTGACCTCAAATGGGGTCATGACCCACAGGTTGAGAACCGCTGCTCTATGTGATCCCCTATGGTGAGCTGGATGGGCTGTGGCAAGTGTGGCTGGGACTCCCCCTGCAATGGACCCATCTAATTGGCCAAACAAAATTGGCTTCTTTAGCCTCCTCACCGGGATTCCTAAATTCCCCACCAGGGTTGAGCTTATGAGGCAGTGGGTGCAGCCTGAGTCTATCAGGGCTCTTAACAAGACCTTATCCAGCATCCCTGGGTTAAACAGTTCTACAGTTCTGGTGAGGGGCGCGATGAGTCCATTTACCAGGGGTTCGTCCTCCAAGCTGTCATCAGAGGATTCAAGTGGCTTCTCGGTTGGGGCTAGAGTTCCCCCCCCCTTGGTTGATGGGGTTGGACCTCGACATCCTCCATGTTCTTCACGGTTGTTTCCTTCGGTCTCTGTGGCATTTTCCCAGGCTTTCCCCCTCCAGCTAAGTAAGGCTTCCTCAGCAGGGTGTTTGAATGGCACTCAGCTGCGTGGTGTCCCTCTTTCCCAAACTTGAAACAGGTCGATGTCCTCGGAGAAGCGGTGGGTTGATTTGCCTGTTCCCGAGCTTCTTCTGCAGGGAATCGTACCCAGGACCATCCAAGGTGCCGTTGTCTCCGAGCTCTATCGATTTCAGCTTCTTCGGCCAAATTGTACCGGTTGTGGAGTCAGTAAGGATCCCCCTGGGGAATGCAGGCATAGTACAGATCATCATTTAGTCCATCTTTAAAATGGCCCACAAGGACTTCTTCCGGCCAGTTGAGCTGGCTGGCTAGGGCTCGGAATCCCTTTGTGTACTCTGTCACAGAGCAACAGCCCTGTTTCACCGTCTTTATGCATTCTTTAGCTTTCTGATTGGCCAAGGGATCCTCAGGGCAACCATGAAGTGGTGGAAATTCCGCAGTTCCGCAGCATTGGCATCGTGTAGGGTCACTATCCACTCGTCCCCAATTTCTAAGGTTCCCCAGTGTACTTCACCCCCAAAGGTAGGAATTTCCATCTGGACCGGTGGCTTCTCCTCCGCCTTTGTGGATGCCCATCTCCATCAGCTGGTGCGGCTCATGCAGGGGTGGCTGCCACTGCCACTGCGGTTGCAGCCTCTGAGGTGCTAGTGGAGGGGCCCGGCTT